TCGCTATCGAGAACAGTGGCGAAACTACGTATCTACTTTTTACTAGGAATTCAAAAAAATTATATTGCTCCTGTTTGGCAACAGAACGGCAGCTATCAAATATTGCGACACTTCAGAAAATTAATTAGAAATTCCAAAATCTAATTAAATCAATTTATTCAATTATCCGTGTTAGTAGTAAAAAAAATTCTATTCGCGAGTCCAAAAGTACAGACGCCCCCTGGTGGTTACAATCATAACTACAAAGTGAAGTAGAATTTGACACTTGTTTTGTTAACATTGGTGTCACATTGGTCTTTACATCTGATTGTAATTTGTTGTATTTTGTTCTAATGCAAGCTTTTAAAGAAATAGAAACATATCGAAAATGTGTAAGAATTGTTTTATGTTATAAATGTCCCCAACTCCACTAAATAAACAAGTCTGAAAAGTCATAACTGTCACTTGACAACGTGTAATTTGGCGTTTCGCAGCTCCTCCAAGGGTAGTTGAACAACAACATACAAAAATTCAATCCAAATACTTTGGATTTAAGAATCTCAGTCTACGAAAATTTTCCCCACATCGAAAGACCGTCGAAAAATAGTTTGATATTGAAATTAACTTTAAAGCAAACCTTTAATCAGTAGAAATATACTTCAAATTGCAGAGAAAAGGACAAAAATACCGCCAGCTAATAGATTTTGGCCTGAAATTACCAACTTTGTATTTCCAGGCTTTGTGTAAATGAAGTCTCCTTGAAATGATTGATATACTCGTATTGCAATGCACTGGATATAATTGAATTATAATTAAGTTGAAAATTACTGTTTAAGATTTTCGATTAGGCGTGCGGTTCGGTTTATTTTTGTAAAGATGAATGGCGAGCTAGTTGGGTTGCCTATAGCAAAAACAGCAAAATTCGCATTTAGTGGCTGATCTCATAAGGTTTTGCTGATTTTGCAGCAAGCTTATGAAGCGGAAAATCGAGAAGATTGTAAGAAAATAATCCCCGTTGTATCCCAAACGGAAAATATCGCTAAAATCCATAAAATAGCGACTGAATATAGGTTATAAATCTCGGCAAGCCAAA